AAGGAAGGAAGCGTTCACCTTAACTTCATACATAATAAACATGTTTCTATTGATCTTTTAACTCCTAATTTTCTTTATTTTATTTTAATTTTCAAACCTCTATAAAATAATAAAATGCTCTATAAATGAGTAAAGACAGAAGGGCTACAAAATAAAATAACATTTCAATCTTAGCCCACGGATGAGTTGTGCTGTTTTCAGAAGATGCTGAGGGCCCCCCATGAGGCCCCTGTGGGGCGGTGTTATAGCAGGGAGCCAGAAATTAAACTGACGTTAATAGTTTGAGTTTTTGTTTCATAATTTAGGGCTGCGGCTATTGATTATTCTTTAGAAACTGATTAATCTATTAATAAGTTTTTGATCAATCTATAAATTAAAAAAGAGAAATTAAGATTTCTGAATAAACAAACATTTGGAATACCCAAAAAAAAGCCTTTTATGAACTAAATATAAACCAACAATTTAATCTTTACTAAAAAAAATTGTATGTAAAAATTGTATATAAATAGCTTGGATGCATTCAGCAGCTTGAAGCGTATCCATTTCTGCTCTCTCCATCAGCTGTTCACGGCTAATGTTTGTTTTCTTGTTTAAATTAAGACTTTTGTTCCGTTTAGAATCAGTTAAGAATCGGCCTATATCAAATTTCGGTTAGGCTGACGTGAAAGTAATCGGTATTGGCATCAACCTTAGAAATATATCAGTCGATCTCTACTCCATATGAGGGATTGCTGAGAAATAAACAAGAACAATGCAAGCAACTGTTAACTGTTGTGAATTGGCACCATACTGATAAAGTAATTTTAATTAGCATGTATCAGCATGACAGGCTGATACTAAAACATACTTTACTGTAATTTGAAACTTTAAAGTGGTTAGATCCTAATCTAGATCTGTCTAAAACCAAACTAAAGCTGCATTAAAATAAAAAAAGTTTAATAAATGATCACTACCTAATTAAGATGAAGGGTATCTACTTCAAACAGCCAATAGACAAATCCATTAAGAGAGAATATATCTGCTATGGTACTGCCTGTGCCTGACATGGATTTATTGGAAAGCAACAGTATCTCTAAATAAGGTTCTTTCAGGGTTAAATGTTCATCACTGTTTTATCTTATCTTCACCATTTGATGGGTGGAAACTAAAACAATAAACGTCCATCAGTTTAAAAAAAGAGCGGATCCCATCCAAACAAATCCAGAACATCCTGGATCTATAAGCTGCTGTTTACGAGTGGAGGCCCCCGTCTGGATTATGCAACAGCTCTTTGTGAAGTTCTGGGAAACCCAATTAAAAAGATTGCTGGTTGCTCGCTGTCCCCCAGGCTGTTTCCTGTCTGTGTGTGGATGCAGACTCACTCATCTCCATGTACTCTGGTGTGAGGCCTTCAAAAGGAGCCAAAGCGTAGTCCAGGTTCCACTGCAGGGGAGTTTTCTCCTCGTCCTTCTGCTTCTGCGTCGGCTCTTTCTCCTTCAGCGCGCGTATCAACTTCTTCAGCTTCCTGTTCAGATTTAGCAAAACAGAAAAAAAAAAGTATATCTTCATTGATATATATCTAATTTATATATATATATCTTTCTTCATATACTTAGCAAATAAGATAAAATACAAACATATATGTTTATGTATGTGTGTGCATGTATATGTACATACACATTATATATATATATATATATATATATATATATATATATATATATA